CTATGAGCCTATGAGGTCATTCTCATTCAAACCACCACATTCCCATCCCTGACTTCCATAAGTTCATGCCCGCATCATAACACAAAATGTATTTAGTCCAACTTCAAAACTTCCTACAGTTTCTCACAATCTCAACACAGTTTAAAACTGTAGTAATAAGGGGCGCGGCGGGGCTGCGTCCCCAACACCCCAGCCGCCTGCTAGCTTATGGCCGAAATAACAACACACAAACTGTATTCATTTAATTACTGCTTGGCCCATTCTCTTATAGGCTAATTCTCACATATTAATTTAGCCCATTTCTAATCATCTGTGTGTAGCACCCCAAGGTGCGCTTACCGGGAAGATTCTAGCCTATGTCCATCCTGGGTCGGAGCTTCATCCCAGGAGCGGAGCATGGCGTCTCTCTCAGGCGTCTGCTCGCGAGAGGAGAGCTGTCGAGACTGAGCTCACTTCCTCTTCCTCCCAGCGTCCTGTTCTGCCTACTCCTCCCACCTATCTTTAAACCAATAAAATGGGCCAAGGCAGTTCCTTTATTAGCCAATGACCTTCCTCCATCATTAAACTCTGAAGTCTCTTCTGAGACTCAAGGCAATGTCTTAACTATAAACCCCTTTAAAATCAAAAGCAAAAAGCAAATTACATACTTTGAACATACAATTACACAGACTATACATTGCCATTCCTAAAGATAAGTAGGGGGCTCAGTGAGGAAATACTGGAGCAAAGTGTGGCCAAAACCCAGCAGGACAAAGTGCGAATCCTATGGTCCCATATCTAGTGTTAAAGGATTTAGACTGCTCCTTGAAACTTGGCTGACAGCAACACATTCTCTCTTGGACTGCTTCCACTCCCTGCCTGCAACACGCCTTGCTGCTGATTTCCCTGTGGCAGACAGGTGCTGGTAGAGTAGCTGAGCAATTTCATCTTGACCCACAGGCAGGAGTCAGAGAGAGCAAGAGCAAGTATGAGTCTTTAGAAACCTAAAAGCCTGACACTAGTGACACACCTCCTCCAACAAGGCCGCATCTCCTTAACCCTTCCCAAGCTATTCTACCAACTGAGGACCAAATATCCAAACACATGACTTTATGGGAGCCATTATCATTCAAACCACCATGCATTCATTAACATATTATCCAGCATAATTTTAAGAATACTAAGGAAAAAGATTCTCACAATTTTTGGTCTAGACCAAAAGGGAAGAAGTATTTACTAAAGAAAGACTGCCATAGGATACCTCGCCTCTTCAACATATGAACTTAGAAGACAGAAAAATTAGTAATTGCTCACTATTCAAAACAATTTAAGAATCCTAGCAAAGTTTCTTGCTGTAGTGAGGAGGCGAAAAACATTTTTGACATCTAAACACACTGAGTGTGTCATCTATGAGCACTCTTCCAAAGAAACAGATACTAGATTGTTCATCTGTAATCAAGTGAAAGTATAATCGGGAAGAAACCTAAAGAAGGATAGGGGAGACAGACAAAAGGGTTTAACCAGCAGTGAGCATGTCAGCTGGAGCACTTAACAGTTTAACTGTAATGAGCATCACATTACTAGGACCGAGAAGATACCTTCTGTTCTCAAGGGAATTCATACATGTTCTCTCTAGACATCTCCTTGGGCAAATTGAAAAGTTCCTTTTCAGTCTTCTGAGGAATGCCAGGCAATAGTCTTGAGGATTGTTGTGCCATATATGTTGCAGTTTGGCTTTTATTACTATGATCTAGTGCCTGAGATAAACTAACTAATGGGTGAATGACCTTGATTTCAGAGGGGATAGTCTGTGGTCACTTGACTTTATGCCCCTGGGCAGCTGGAGCATGTGGCAGAGGGGATTCTTCACTTCACAGGGGCAGGAAGCAGAAAGTATAACAGAAAACAAGGATTATAATGAGAAGGGGTCCCTGTGGCCAACATCCTCCGAGCTGTGTCCTGAAGGGGACTCTGACACAGCATGAGCTCCTTTCCTGACCCCAGATTAGGTACAAAGCACACTCGAACATCTGTTTTCACAGAGAAATACTTTATTAAGTGGGGAAGAAAACCCTTCAAGTGGCTGCTTTCTGATTCTGACAGAAAAACATCAGCAAATTACATTACAGGTGTCATTCTTCTTAAAAGAAAAAGGGGAGGTCTATCTCAGAATGGGCTAGAGTATGGTGATAAAGGAGATGGGGACAGGGAGAAAGGGGAGACTACAAGGGAAAGGGACAGGGATATTTGTCCAGGAGGGACAGTGTTACTGCCTCTGGATAGAGAGAAGACAGACGTGCCACATAGGCAAATGGCGGTTTATAAAGGTATAGGGGAAACCCCTTGTTAGGATGAGTTGCTTAATTTTAATTGGACATGTTAATTAGATGAACTAAAGGGAGCTTCTGATTGCTGGACCTTAGTAGTCAGCCTTAGGAGGAAGTGACCAAATAAGGGAATAGACCATTGTGGCTAGCTTTAGTAGTGTAATCTAATGGTTTTTTAGCAAGGCAGAGGGAATGGGGAGAGGGACAACAAGTTCAGGTGGGCTAATGTCCTGTCAGGTCCCAGCTCCTAAAGTTTCCACAAACACCACATATAGCAACATCCTAAGCATTCAGACAATGAGCAAATGAGGACGTTTCCTATTCAAACCCCATATTAGGTCCTTTCTCCAGCTTCTAATGTCAGTTTTCTCCAGCCTGCCTCAGCCCAGGAGAAGGATCTCTCAATACACTCTCAGCACTTCTCCGCCTGCCCTCATTACCCAGACCTAAACCAGCAGCAGAGTGGGATGATTTGACTTTGATGCAGCGATATGCCCGTTTGTTAGTTATTTTTAACTTATTATATTTTCTGTTTGTACTGGGAATGGAACCCAAGGCCTTTAGAGTGTGAGAATGTACTTGCCACTACATCTAAGGTCTGGTTTAAATTTTTGGTAGTCAAATTAGTGAAGGCGTTCTCCTAGCTTTAAGGACTTTAGTCTTTCTTGAAATAGTCTTCCCCAACCAACAATTTTAACAGAACTCTCGTTCGGTTAAGGTTTTGCTGTGTGCTGTCTTTGTCTTCTGACTACATTTATGTGTATGTGTTGTTGAGATGAACCAAAACAAAATGTCTCAATAGCATTTAAGGAATAGGCTGTCCTGTCCTTAATAGTTATTAAATATTGCAAATAGTAAAGCAAAAACATACAGGTTGTAAGGGAAGACAGATATGGTGGCTCACACCTATAATCCCTCTACTGAAGAAGATGAGGCAGGAGGATTGCTATGAATTTGAGATCAGCATCAAAGTAAACAAGCAAAACTTTTAAAAGAATTACTAAAATTATCTGTGTCCTGATCATTCCATAAAGCACTCACAGAAAGGGATTTGAAAATGCGAAGTGAGGCCAGGGTTGGTGACACACACCTGGAACCCAAAACTGGGAAGGCAGAAGTGTGGTGATATGGAGGTGAAGGCTATCTTCAGACAGGCATGGAATCTGAGATTAGTGTGGCTAAATGACAACCACCACACCCTCAAAAGGGGGGAGAAATAAAAATGAATAATATTGCAGAAAAGAGGGAAATGCACTGTAAACAGAGACTGTTCTTTCATTTCCCGGCCACCCAGACCTGAATAATCACACAAAAGTATATTAATTGCAACACTGTTTGGCCAGTGGCTCAGGTGCACTTTTGACTACATCTTACATTTTAAATAACCCATTTTTATTAATCTGTGTATTACCATGAAGCTGTGGATTACCGATAAGGTTCTGGCATCTTTCTGCAACTATGTGACGTCTCCTGATTCTGCCTTCTTTCTCTCTCCATTCCCTTTAGTTTTCCTACTTACTTATATTGTGCCCTACCATAGACCAAAGCAGTTTCTTTATTAACCAATGGTAATAAAACATACTCATTATATGCAGAGGGAAGTCCCACATCAATGCACAATTAGGTAATATAAATTATTTTAAAATATAGCAGTATCATTTTGATAACACCAAAATCATGTAATTTGACTCAAAAATGTCACTTTTTCTATTGTCCATATAAAAATGGACTTGTAGGTATACAGTTTGTGTATAAGATAATTTTATGTATGATGTTTTTCATGCCAAGGTGATCTTTAAAAAACTACTTTTGTAAGAAAAAACTGGGATCATTTCTATCTCTGTATACATATGATATACACACAGCAGTGTAAAAAGGGGTTAAATTGGGCTGTCGAGATGTCTTAGCTGGTAAAGGCTCCCACTTCCAAAAACCATGACCTGAGCTTGATTCTTAGGTTCCACATGGTGGAGAAGAGAACTGACTCCTAGGAGCTGTCCTCTGCCCGCCACATCCTTGTCAGGATGTGCACACGCACACACAAATGTAAGTTCCACATGTGTGCATTTGTACGTCATGACATGAAAAAATATCCTTGAAACAAATTAAGGTAAAAATGTATTTAGTCAATTTTAGAGTGTAGGAATTTATAAATTCCTAAAGTATGGATCTGGAAATAAAGCAATCTTTAAGGATTTAAATTTTGAAAATTGGGGGATAGAGGAGATTAGAGTCTTGGTTATTTTTCTGTTTTAGTTACATTTTTATGTTTAGAATTAAGTAATCATAAACTATTTGTGAAATAAACAATATGAAAAATACGTTTTAAGACAAAAGTTTTGTTTTGAAACCAAGATTAAATTGTGCATAAAAACATTGCTAATCAAAATGTTGGCCCTAACCTTGACAAACTAGATTCAGAAAATGTTCTTTTTAAATTATTTTTAAGCACAGTGTAGTAACCAATGTAGGATTTGATCTCAAAGAGTCAAACAAATGAGATTAGCAGATAATTGCCTTAGCCATTTGTTTGTTTTTGCCTGGATGTGATTTATGGTAAAATTCTGACCTCTTCAAAGTGGCGCATGTGTAGTATCTGGTATCTGTTCATTAAGTCCCGGGGAAGCAAACAGGTAGCAGACGCTCACCTCTAAGCAGGAGTGAGGACTTTCCGTCCGTGGAAACAGCGCTGGCATGGAGAACGGTACAGCAAGATACGGCCTGTAAGGTCGCCTTTCCAGGGGTCAGAAATCAGGAGGAGACCATGACACTTTTAGAAATTAAAACAGTATTTCAAATTAAAAATTCCCAGAATCAATCTCTCTCTCTCTCTGTCTCTCTGTCTCTCTCTGTCTCTCTCTCTGTCTCTCTCTCTGTCTCTCTCTCTCTGTCTCTCTCTCCCTGTCTCTCTCTCTGTCTCTCTGTCTCTCTCTCTGTCTCTCTCTCTGTCTCTCTCTCCCTGTCTCTCTCTCTGTCTCTCTGTCTCTCTCTCTCTCTGTCTCTCTCTCCCTGTCTCTCTCTCTCTCTCTTTCTCTCTCTCTCTCTGTCTCTCTCTCCCTGTCTCTCTCTCTGTCTCTCTGTCTCTCTCTCTGTCTCTCTCTCTGTCTCTCTCTCCCTGTCTCTCTCTCTGTCTCTCTCTCTCTCTCTCTCTCTGTCTCTCTCTCCCTGTCTCTCTCTCTCTCTTTCTTTCTCTCTCTCTGTCTCTCTCTCCCTGTCTCTCTCTCTCTTTCTCTCTCTCTCTCTCTGTCTCTCTCTGTCTCTCTCTCTCTCTCTCTGTCTCTCTCTCTCTGTCTCTCTCTCTCTGTCTCTCTCTCTCTGTCTCTCTCTCTCTGTCTCTCTCTCTGTCTCTCTTTCTCTCTCTCTCTGTCTCTCTCTCTCTCTGTCTCTCTCTCTCTGTCTCTCTCTCTGTCTCTCTTTCTCTCTCTCTCTGTCTCTCTCTCTCTGTCTCTCTCTCTGTCTCTCTCTGTCTCTGTCTCTGCCTCTCTCTCTCTGTCTCTCTCTCTCTGTCTCTCTCTGTCTCTGTCTCTCTCTCTCTGTCTCTCTCTCTGTCTCTCTCTCTCTGTCTCTGTCTCTCTCTCTCTCTCATTGGGTAAATAGTAAAAGTCCTGCCTGATGGCCCATCACTGCGCAAATTCTTCCCACACCAAACCCTCTATATAACCATATATTCCAAACATCAACATCAGAAAATGAGTGTTGGCTTATACTTACTTCTGTTTCACTGTGAACCTCCAACTTTGCCAGTTTTGTTCATAATTTTTGAAAGATTTATGCCATCCTGAAACAAAACCATAGCATATCCTCACAATGTTACAGCTAAAGTGTAGTAATAAGAGCAGCGAGGCTGCGTCCCCCAGCACCCTGGCCGCCTGCTAGCTTATGCCCGAAATAACAACACACAAACTGTATTCTTTTAAACACTGCTTGGCCCATTTCTATCTAGCCTCTTCTAGGCTAACTCTCGCACCTGGACTAGCCCATTTCTAATAATCTGCTGTAGCCCACAAGGTGGCTTACCAGGGAGATTCTAGCCTACGTCCATCCTGGGTCGGAGCCTCATCGTGTGTCCGGGAGAGGGGAGCATTGCGTCTCTGCTCCAGAGAGCAGAGCTGTCCAGTCTGAGCTCTCTTCCTCTTCCTCCCAGCATTCTGTTCTGCTTACTCCTCCCACCTATGTTTTAACCTATGAGGGCCAGCCAAGCAGTTTCTTTATTTTTTTAACCAATGACCTTCCTCCATCACTAAAGGATCCTATGTGCCCACCCCTCCAGAAGTACAATGGTTTTTTATAGTTGCTGTGGGAGGTAGTATCATTTTCCTCCTTAGTGTAGCAGACACTGATAATTTATCTATGCTGTAGCAAATAACCCAACCCATGATTGTGTAAGCAAGCCTACTTAAATGCCGTGGTTTTGTTTGTTTTTAATTGGGAAAGGACTGTTTGGGAAGAAGAAGGATATCTATGGTAAAGGGAAGGGAGTTAGGGAAAGTAGAGGGAAGTGAAAGTGATCAAAATTGTATACATGTATGAAAATGTTTACATGTATGTAATTGTTAAAGAAAAAATGTTAAAGGATCCCATTTGTCCCATCTTTCTTAGTTATCTTGAATGTGGCATATGTTCTCTGGTTTTTATGATTTTTCTTTACCCACTTGATTATTTCAGGTTAGTTGTCTTGTATTCTCTGGGGTTTTTCCCTTGAATGAGGGAACATCTTTTGGGGAGGATTGGCATAGGAGTGATGTTGTGATCATCTCACTGTAGTGACCAGATTCTGTAAGGTCTGGAGCTATTCTGTCACTGGAGGTTTATTCATTTCTGCCACCTGACAAAGGAGATGACTAAGGGATCTCCCACTAGAATATTCTCTTTCCTTTTCAGTTAAAGAGGGTATTTTAAAGCAGGTACTTGGAAACTGTATTTCCTATTCCTCATCCATTTGTAGACTTATGTATTATCAATGTGTGCTCATACTTCTGTCCTAGTCAGTGAGTCCTTTCTTCCCCTTATTTTAATGCTGGCCTTTGGCCGATAAGAACCATGTTATACTTTCTGTTGTGTTCTGATCAACACAAGACACAACTCTTCTGACAAAAAAAAAAACTATTCCAGTTTTCGCACCATCCATTTCTCCAAGGAGCCTTTGTTCCATTTGGTACGTTCACCTTGCCATTGGGAGTGTTTCTGGGTACTGTTATCCTTAATAGGTAAAGCTAGGGACTGTGTGTGTGTGTGTGTGTTAAAACACATTTTACCCCTGTGCTGATTTCTGTGTCAGTGATGGAGATATTAAAAGCCATAATTTCATTTTGAAAACGGTTTCATATTCAGCACCCTGAGTTGCATTCTTTGTGCCCTGTTGCTCCTGGACTCCTGAACTCCAACATTGCTCTTATCCACATCCCAAACAGCTAGCACCCCAGGAATGCACCACCAGATCTGGCTTCAATATCCTGCGAGGATATCAAGTGCCTGCCCCTCATTATTCTGATCACGCTTACTTTATTGGGCTCTTTTCCCTGTGTATAACAAACTCCATCACCACAGAGGGTACTCCGGTCTCTGTCATAGATACCCTTCTTGATGCAGTCTGTCTCCCTGCCAACTGGGATGCCTTTCCCAACATGTGAGATCTGAGTAGCTCTGTTGCCTGCTCTCACAGGTAGATCCTTTCATCACCTTGCCATGATGCCCACAAGGCATGCTTTTCATCCGTATGTGCTTTCTAGACAATGCAACATACATTGGCGTCATACCCCACTCAGCCCCAGTATGTGGGCATTCATCTTCCCCATGTAGACTCTAACAGCCCATATGGCTTTATTCCTTTGTACATTGTCCAGCAGAGACATATTTCCCATATCCATTACTTATGGATTTGTTTAGGAAAAGAAAGGAAGTGTAGAGTGGTAAATAAAAGATACTTTAACATGCACTAATAATAGAAATATTTGTGGCAAACTGTGATGTTTCCTGGTTATGATCTGATATTAGGGTCCTTTCAGGTCCATACTCATTAACCTGTTAAGCAACAACAATAGTAATGAGAATATTAATGAGAAACAAAAATGAAGCTCCCAGTTCCTAACAGCCCTCTTTGTTGCCATCAAGTGCCTTTTATCAGAACACAGTGATGACTATAATATAAAATATGAACCAAGTATAGTTTTGCCCTTTAAGGACTAGCAAAATTATATGCAAAAGAGTCATTCTACACATCAACATATCTGATAACATAGGTCAGCCAATGTTGAAATATTATTTCTATAGTCTAAAACAGTTGCTCATTGTCTAGTAATGAAAGGAAAGAGTTTTGGGTTTGTAATTTTGTGTTTATTTATTCATAGCTAATATAGGTGGATCAGACTAAGTTCAGTCTGGAGATATATAAAAACAATATTTGCATATTACTGGGAAGATACTTACCCATATAATCTTTCTATTTTTCTCTTTACTGCCAGTTAATTTTGACCTCTGATACGCACATATCCTGTTCAGAGTTACCATGCCTATAGCTGGTGACAAGGCGACCAGAAACTTCCTCGCTCCTCTTGAAGTTTTATTGCATTGCTGTTAATACTCTGGGTCTTTTATCATTATTAATTCATTCAGTATTCACTGTGATAACACTGATCATAATAAATTTATTTCAAATCCATGTAGATGTCATAATTTATTCACTGCTATAGGGTTTACATTATAATCTGGAACTAATTATTTTACCATTAAAATAAAGTGTTACCCACAGTTTTTCATGTCTAGTGGTTCATGACATATTGTGTGAGTACTCAGCATCCCAGTGCTAACCGAAGTCTCTGTAAATTTTCTTTGAAGCAATGTTTTTTTAAAGAACAACAGAAAAAATTATGTATGGAAATAAGATTTCAGTGCATAATTAAAACTTAGTGGTATGTTGGCTACTAGTAATTTTTGTATTTCTTCCATTTTGTGATATATACATATTAATACAGCATACCTTTTTTATATACATTATTGTTAATGCTATAGAAACTGATTAATTTGCCACTTGACTGGTGTCACCAGGAGAGATTATAAAACAAACTCAGAACACTGTGAACTTGGCTGCTTCTATTCTGCATGTGTGGTGACAGAAATGATGTGCAGTACACTAACAGTGAGGGTGATAACTACGTGTGAACTCTAAAAGGTCTTAAGTGAGGCTGTGTACCTTATCCCTATCTCTCTTTGTTGCAGAAGCAGATATCTGCAAACTGTTGGTGAGGAACAGGAAGCTGGTTACAGTCATTTAAACAGACTATATTAAAATGGGAAGTAGATCCAGTAGAGACCCATTAGATGTTGATGGGAAATGGCTAATAGGAAGAGTCAGCTTTATCCTGTGTCTTGGGTTTTATCACATAGCTACCTTGATGAATGGAATTATTTTTGCATTCTTCCCTGAGCTCCCTGCCCTATTGGGCACAGTATTGCTGTGTTCTTGTTGTGTGTCGTAAATGACATTTTTACATGCTTCTCTATCATATCACACTATTAACTCAGATACAATTTTAAAAGAAAAATGAAAGACTTCTGCTTACCCCGTAGTCCCTTGCACAGTAACCTTGTTGCCATGACATCCCATAGCATTTGATACTTGTCAATCATCAGTTCCTTTTTGATGTATTTCCATGCACCTGTATGAAACAGCATTATATTTTTATCTTATACTTAGGCCAGCTTTTTCCTTATTTATTTCCTTTTA